AAAAAATGTCGGGGCCCCTCCCCAACATGTGTTGTAATCATATATTCAATGACAAACCCAGAAATTATTTATGGTAGAACTGAATTTTGTGATAGAGCCCCTCAATGGTTATATACATACTAAGTGTAAACTTTTTATATAATTTTCGCCAGTCAGATTTATTACTCTCTCAAAAAAACAAACATGTTTGTTGTTAATAGACAATTTATTTGTAAAAAAAATAATCAGTGATTCAAAGTAGGATAAAGGTCAATCAATGAGTAGTATAGAATAAATGGAATAATGGAATATGCCAGCTAAGTTGCTCACTGGTTTGTTATGCAGGATACTGAGATTGTTACGTGATTGGAAGAAGTTTGGACAAACTAACAACAGGAGAAGCCAGACTAATATTGAGGGGATTTTTAATAACAATAGAAAATGCATTTCTTTTTCAATTTATTTCATACAATCGTATAAATGGCTGTATGACAAATGGTAAACTTTGGTAAACTAAACAAAATGCACTGACGATATCTCACAAGTGGCACATCCTTGTTAAAATGGTTAGATCTAATCAATTCTAATAATCACCTAATAATTTTGATATACAACCAGTATAGCCAACCAGTCAGCAATTTAGATGACAATGTTTTGGTGTTTGAACCAATGTAGCGGTGATACTATTTATTTAAGGCCAATTGTTATGCAAACTAGCTTCAATTAATATGCAAATTAAATCATAACATCTTTTGTTTGTCACTTAGTCTAGTTAAATACATATATGTACAGTGGAATATTCACCCTCAACTTGCTTTTTGCGCAAAATCTGGATCAACGAATAAATAAAGAATGCAGTGTTACTTAATCAGAGATCTGTTGAAAAATGTGTTTTTACTTTTTTTCCCCTTGCTGCTACCCTGAAGTTGCAGGAAGGTACTGTAAAATCTGTATTAGAAACCGCGGCTTCTATCAAAATGGTACAATGTAATAGAGGGGATGCGGCTACTATTAGAGCACCTACACATATGAGAAATGATGAATTTTTGGTTCTCAATTATTCTAAAAGAATGGGTGCGACTTCTATTAGGGATGCGGCTACTAATGCAGATTTTACGGTAGTCCCATAGTGCATCTATCGCTACTTGTGAGTATAACTGTTAGTATTCCATTGATACGTAAATCAAATCTTTCTCAGCTGGGAAGCTACGGTAATAACTCTTACTGATGATCAGTAAGATGCACCAGTGGAGTACCAAAATAGGGCTTTATTTATTTAAGTAATGGTATTGTTCAGTCTCTTCGATCATAGTTCCAAGATTTAACCGCTAATAACTAAAAAAACATCGTTGTGATAACTTTCCCCTTTAAAAACATCCTGTATAGAGAGGGTGGTGTTGGGTAGTCACTGGTGTAACCAGACATTCAATCTGAATGTTACATGTACGTCTTCAGCTATTGACCAGTCACTACATTTAAAAACAGGAGAGGCAACCAACACATTTCTGTATACAATTCTAAGGTTAACAAAGACACAAATTCAAATATTATTTTTTATAGATAAGACAGAATTAAAAAAAAAAAAAATCAGAATTACTGATCTAACAAATATATGATGCAAAGATTAGGTCGTAGCACACACACATGTTCTTAGTAAAGCCAGTAAAGTTAAAAAATAATATGGAAAGGATAATTGGAACCAGACAAAAAAAATACAATTTCATAACTAAAATCAATACAGTATGTAAAAGTTATGCAGTATTAATCAAGAAATACATGTCCGCTCTGGCTAAATAACATTCAAAGTAAATCTTTTACATTGCCCCTCCATACAAAGTATTAGGAATACCTAATCAGAATCACAGCAACCAATTTGTTAATCGTAAATATAAATTTTCAAGAAAATTATGCAAATTCTGTTTCCATGTTGAACACAATTTCTGCAATTAATCTTTTATAGTGAGAGACTCAAATACTTCAAAGGTTAGAGTCAACATAATATATTAGTCTTTATATGTACCAGGAAAATAAAACCCATCAGGGCTTGAACTTCGGCATTCTGAAGAAACAAGATATCAAGGATAATTGAAACCGTGGAGGAATTACCTGACTATTTTGAAAGGCTTCAAAAGCAAGTCAATTTTGAAGAGCATCAATCAAAGTCAGAAGGGGTGGCATGTGCAAAAGCACCAATTTTTTGAATTTCGTGCCCTCGTCACCATGGTTTTTTTTGTGAATGACAGTAATATTATAACCATTAATTTCAAATGAAATTATTCAGTTCATAAGTTCACTTAGCAGAAAAGTGTATGCATTCAATAAACACAGCATTTCATGGCAATCTTGAATATACCTTGTCTCACTATTGTATTTTATATTTTAAAGTAGTTTAATTTTACTGCCAATAGCAAGTTTTACCTGCACACTGCTGTTATGCAGAATTTTGTTACCGTACTCGACTGAGTTAGTACCCATGCTCGGCTGAGCACCCACCCCCCACTTTTGGGACATTTCCCTTCATAAATGCTCTAATCATGAAACTTGGTCTTTGATCATTATTTAACTTTTCTGAATACTATGTTGTGAATGCATAGACCACGGTAATCGTGCATAAACTATGCTTCGACAATGATCTGTTAATGAAAGTGAAATGCAGTAAATACTTCATGCCTTATTCAGTTTATCTATAAACAAGCAGCCTCTCCGCTGAGATAGCTCCGCTGTTAGCAATGCACATTTCAATTAAAGAACAGAAAGTATCATTAAATCAAAGAAAGCTTAGAAAGAACTCCCATGTGCTGAGAGTATTGGAGACACATTAAATATAATTCGAAATTACTTAGCTGAAAACTAATTATGCAAATCAGAAAATTAATATGAACAGATTTGAGTGTAAAACTAATGAGGTCTGCGCAATGTAACAGAAAATCTATATACCAAGTTTAATTGAAATGTGATTAAAACCAAAAAATTATGAATTATTATGCTAATTAGGGAATTAATATGAACAGATTTTTACCCCCAAACTAATTAGGTTTGTACATTCTCCTAGAGCATCTTTGTACTAAGTTTCATTGAAATGGAATAATTAGTACTTTAGATACCAGTGTGAAAGCTTAAAATTGGTTAATTATGCAAATTAGGTAATTAATATGTACAGATTTTAACCCACAATTATCCAGGTGCATGTACAAACATTCATTGATGTGTGATGATTAGTACCCGAGATATCAGTGTGAAAGTTGGAAATTGGTTAATTATGCAAATTAGGTGATTAATATGCACAAATATTTACCGTAAAACTAATCAGGTCTCTGCATAGTCTTAAAGGATCTATGTACCAAGTTTCTTTGAAATGCGATGATTAGTACTTGAGATACCCGCGGAACTAACTAT